GAAACCAACACAAAAATGAATACATGACTAATAAAAGTTAAAAGAACAAACCTTCCTATTCCTTCCTATTCTGAGTCTCTTGATTGTACCAAATTGCTTAAAGAAACCTGCAAAGTTTGTATTGATATCCGCGATTGTGGACATACATTGCATTCATGTAAATTAAATTCGAAGAATAAACTAACCTTCCATTTCATTCTCATAAAATCCATGTGGAATTCTTCCAATATATAAGACAGTTGCTTTATTCTCCCTTTCTTCAATCTTCGAAATCTTCCGCGCCAGACCACCCTCCAACGGCTATTAGTTTTTCAACGAACCAACATATATAATAAAAGCATATATTACAAAATTAGTAAAAACATAAAAATGAACACACATACTGATACATATAGTAGATACAACATAAACACGCACAAAAAAAAAAAAAAAAAAAAAAAAGATCATACCACAAAATCAGGACTATCGTCTTTGGAAGCAGAGAATTGCGCAGAGGCCTTCCTCAAATTCTTCACTATTGATTTCTTTTTTGCTTTCGTCCCCATATCTATACAATACTATTACACACACACACATCAGAAAAAATTTCTGTGACGCGAGTGATAAAAATTTTTTTATCAAGAAATCAGGGTTTTACCTTCTGGTGAGATATCCAGAGAGATTTGGGGTTGACAGGAAAGTGAGAGAGGGGCTATTCAAAAACCCTAAGACCGATGCAGAGAAAAGGGAACGGGCTTTTAAACGGGCTTATTCGGACTCATATTAGGTGGTTTAAATCTGGGCTTTACCTGGGCAGGACTGGCCAAGTGGCCAATACCGATGTTCATTCAGTGGGCCAAGTGGCCAGTACCGATGTTCATTCAGTGGGCCAGGTGTGCCTATGAGCCTTAATAAAAATAGAAAGTGGAAGCAACATATTTTGGTTTTTTTAAATGACCAAAAAATAAAAATTTATTGAATTTTGTTAATTGACATCAAAAGTATACATAAGGAATTACATAATATGATATGAAGAAAAAAGATTAACAAGAAAAATTGATTATGTTTTAAATTAACAAATGGTCGAGTACAATATGGCATTATATAATACATTATGTAACCATTGATGTACATGCAGTGAGATTAAAAATTATTCGAACATGCAAAAGGATTTGAATAAGTAGACCTTGTCCAAATTCAGTAAAATCGGAACTTGTACGGTAATATAGTAATTAATTATCCAATAATTCTACTACACATTTCATTGACAAAAAAGTTGTATCCTGTTTAAATGGGTAATTAGTACACAATGTCCCTATGTTTCATCATTATTGTGGAAGATGTCACTGTCTTTCATTTATTGGCATTTTTATCCTTCATTGTTCAAAATGTCATTTTCATCCATTTCTTCAACTAAAAGTTGTGAAATGACAAAAAATACCATTCTTTTTAAATAAAAATAAAAAAAAATTAATTGCAATCATAGTCCCAATTTTTTTAAAAGTGCAAATGAGTCCCAAATAAATTAGTAAAAGGTCCTTATATTTTAATAGAGTAATTGGCACAAAACGTCCATACCTTTCAAGTCTATTGTGAAAAACGTCCATACCTTTCATTTTTTAGCATTTTGCCCTTATTTCAACCTTTTTTTGCGCTGGATGTTCTTCCGTCCACATTCCGTCATTTTTTCTGTTAATTAAATACAAAAATACCTTATTCTTTCCATAGATAAGGGTAAAATTGTCCTCATCCATTTCGCCCCTTTATTCAACCCTTCAATAAACAAGGGTGAAATGGAACAACAGCTGAAGAAAGCTGAGATTACTCAAAGGCGTAAAATGCAAACTGAGAAAGCAGCATGGGAATCAAATGTTTGCTTTTTCTCTCTACTTCAATTTATTGTCATCTTGTATGACTTTTAGAATTTTAAAAGCATGGAACATCAATTTTGTAGGCAGAGGCAATTAGAAAAATACTCAATCAAGATTCCAATAGGAAGAAGCGAGAAGATAAAGTGAAGAAGCCCCAGGAGGAGTTGGCACTGGTACTGTATTTCTTCTTGAGCCCTCTATTTGAGTATTGTTATGAAGCTAACTACTAATAATTTTTTCTTTTCTTTTTTGGAACAAAAAATACATGAGAAGGCGGCCAGTGCTCAAATGCTAGTAGCATCAAGCACCATTAGATGGGGCATGGGCCCGACTGGGACCACTGTCACTTTCCCAAAAGATATGGGTTTTCCCAAAATCAATCACGAATTGTTGTGTGTATAAACAGGAGGAAAATAGAAGAAAATAGAGACTTTTCTTGCCAAAATTTTGAAAGGTTGGGACGTTATTCTCAAATTTTTAAAAAATGTAGGGATGTTTCTCGCCAATACATTTTAAAGGTAGGGATGTTCTCAGAAAAATTATAACAACGTAGGGACTATTATCACAAGGTTAATTCAATTCTTAGAAGAAGTGAATAAGACCAGTTCATCTTCTCCATAGAGCCAAAATAAGTCATTCATCATTAAAATGTAATACGTACTTCCCAGCACCCATTTCCACTCATTCTTCTCAATTTACCCAGTGGATTTCATCCTTAATAAGGATATACTGGAAGTGAACATCCAGCATAATCTTTATAAATTGACCACCATTTAATATATGTCTTTCTAAATTTTTCCAGTAACCCAATATGACAGTAACAGTAGTTATGGAATTGTGAAATATAATGTTGTTCACAACATTTTTTCTTTATTTAACATAATCATTTAAAGGATTTTTATATTCATGTTGCTGCTACTTTTACTTATGGACTAAGTTGATGGCTAGAAGAAGGAGTGAAATGGACGAGGACAATTTTATCTTTGTTTATGAAAGGAAAAATGTATTTTTGTACTTAATTAACGGAAAAACAGATGGAACGTGGACGAAAGGACGTCTAGTGCAAAGAAAGGTTGAAATGAGGGTAAAATTGCCAAAAAATGAAAGGTAGGAACGTATTCCAAAATAGACTTGAAAGGTAGGGACGTTTTGTGCAAATTACCCCATTTCAATATTATTGTGAAAAATGTCCCCACTTTTTATTTTTTTTTTGGCATTTTTACTCTTAATTATAACTTTAATAACCATAATTTCTTCCATTTTCACCCAATTTCTCAATAATGACGAATATACCATCTTATATAAATAAAATGAAGAAAATGAAGAAATAATTTTTTTTAATTTCTAATTTTTTAATAATTTATTTGGGACTCATTTTGCACTTTTTACAATTTTTTAAATTTTTTATTTTTAATAATTTATTTGAAACTCGTTCACACTTTTCTAAAAATATTTATTTTTTAAATAATTTATAAGGGAATCGTTTGTATTTAAATAAATTGGTACTATGGTTACAATTAGTTCTTTGTTTTTCATTTTTTAAATTTTAAATATGAGGGTATATTCGGTTTTTCATAGCTTTTATTGAGAAATTAGATAAAAATGGATAGATATGTGGCTTGCGCAATCAAATGTGTAATTATGGGTGAAAATGTCAAAAAGCGAAGGGTAGTGCATTAGTTCACAACAATAGTAAATGTAGGGGACATTATGTACTAATTAACATTTTATTAATTTATTTGGGACTCGTTTGCACTTTTTTAAAAACTTAGAACTACACTTGCAATTAGTTCTTATTTTACTTATATAAAATGTTATATTCGTCATTTCATAGCTTTTACTTGAAAAAATTGATGAAAATGACATTTTTGCATAATGAGATGTAGAAATAAGGATGAAAATATTAAAGTAAAATAAAAAGTAATGACATTTTTCATAATAATGATGAAAAGTAAGAACCTTATGTGCTAATTACCCAATTAGAAACCTAATTTTATTCTAGTAATTCATTCGAAAGAAGAAATAAAGACGTACAAAATTTATAAAGGTTTCCTCAAAATTAATCACTATACGAGAATATTATCCTCCTACTCCATTATACACAAATTGAGAAAAAATATAAATGTAGGATCATCTCAAAGAATTGTCTCAATTGTTTTGGTCAAACACAGATGAATGTTTTTCTATAGTTACCCTTGATGAAATTACGAAAACTATATTGTAGGTCATATTTACACAATATATGGATAAAGGAGCCGATCGAAAAGAAAAAGTATGAATCTTTCTTTTTTTAACATAGAACGAGTGGGTTATCTTCTTCTTTTTCCCTCTCTTTCATTTCATTTTAATTATTTTTTCCTTTTAATTATTTTTTTTCATTTTAGGCTAGGGTAATATGTTCATCAGGACCTGGTATATCTGCTCAAAGCGAATTGGTTGGTGCTAGAATCCCTTTGCATGCTCTTAATTCATGCTTAAGAATCCAGCAAAAATATTTAACGGATTGAATCGATTGATAGTAAAATCAGGAAATTGATGATATTATAGCCCAGCCAACTTTTTAGGACATAAAAATAAAATTTTTTACTGTTATACTTTCTTCAAGCCGCAATTGTTGACCTTTTAATTATTTTTTTTCATTTTAGGCTAGGGTAATATGTTCATCAGGACCTGGTATATCTGCTCAAAGTGAATTGGTTGGTGCTAGAATCCCTTTGCATGCTCTTAATTCATGCTTAAGAATCCAGCAAAAATATTTAACGGATTGAATCGATTGATAGTAAAATCAGGAAATTGATGATATTATAGCCCAGCCAACTTTTTAGGACATAAAAATGAAATTTTTTACTGTTATACTTTCTTCAAGCCGCAATTGTTGACCGATTGTGTCATGTGTGGGACCCAGATTCCATGCCAATGGTCAACTTTTTCATAAAAATGATTTGGAAAATATAGCACAAAGAGGCTGATATGCTCGCCTGATATATTCAAATCACATCATCTCGAATTTTGAATCATTAAAGTCATGACATCTCGAACATCGAATAGATAAGAGAGAGAAACGAAGTGGATGGGAGGACCCACTCATTATTGACGGTGTCATGATTTAAGTGGCTCAAAGTCTAAATTGTCGCAATCTGAATAGATTATTCTACCATGTATACATATTGGTAGTGCCACTGAATTTTTCTCGAGAATTAGACACCATTTTCAAGTTCCACCGAGTTATCAACTGAGTTACCCTTTATGTAGATAAAAGAAGCACAATAATGATCAATTACCAAGGTTTTGTACATATAAAAATATAATAATAATTACATGTCCAATCGTTGGGGTTCAATAAAGTAATTAATTGCAATTATAACATGAAATGCAAGAACAATTCAAGATCGCATATCTAGACGAGAACTAAACTCCTTTCCAACATCACAACGGCACAACCCATAGGGAGACCTTTGATAATATTTCAAAATTTATATTTGTCCTCGTGGTTTAAATGTAGAAAAATTTGCCATTAAAAATTGATATCTTTATATATGTATTCGTATTCTATCAAACAACAAATGCAGCCTAGGGGAAAATAGGCCACATCTTCGACCATGGGATTAGAGTTCAAAACTTGTGAATCACATTGTAATTTTTCAAAGGGTAATCGTGGGTTATAGTAAAGAGTGTGCTTTTTAATATTTTGCAATACTAATTTAAGTGACAGTAAGTGTCATTAAATGAAAGTTACAATGACCTTTAATTGAACATATTACATAATGCTATATAAGTTGATGCCATATAACATTATTCTTTAATGAAAGAGTGGGCTTTAATAAAGCTAATTTGCAAAACTATTTCGATTCATTCTAGTCATGAATAGTTTAAATACC